CTTAGTCTCAAGGGATAATTCTTCAACTAATGCCTCCAGATTCTTCCATCCTAATTGTGTTGATACAGTTTGGCACTACAGATGATGTCTTTCTCTTGAAATGTTGCTTTTTCAAAAAAAACCTTTTTTTTTATGGACAGCTTTTTAAAAGTCTTTATTGAATTTGCTACAAAATTGCTTCTGTTCTATGTTTTCCTATTTTAGCCACAAAGCACGCCAGATCTTAGCTCCCTGACCAGGGATTAAACCCACACGCCTTACAGTGGAAGGTGAAGTCTTAACAACTGGACCACCAGGAAAGCTTGGAGACTTTGCTTTTTGAATCTCCTGGCTCTCTCTCCTGATTCTAAAGACAAGTCCACCAGTCTATTTGCAGTTTCCACTTTTTAAACTACCTCTTTAAGTGTTGCTATTCCCCTTATATCTGTCCTTGGGAATCTTATTTTAATACCCTTCATTCTTTCCTGGTATTATAGTTGGCCCTTGAACTACATGGGTTCCCTTACATGCAGATTTTTTTCACTAGATACTACTACAGTAGTACCCAATCCCCATTTGGTTGAATCTGCTGATGTGGAACCAAGGATATAAAGGGCCAAATATACTAGTTTTTGGACTTCCCTGGTGGCTCAGATGGTAAAGAATCCTCCTGTAATGTGGGAGACCTGGGTTCGATCCCTAGGTTCGGAAGATTCCCTGGAGGAGGGCATGGCAACCCACTCTACTATTCTGGCCTGGAGAATCCCCATTGACAGAGAAGCCTGGTGGGCTACAGTCCATGGGGTCGCAAAGAGTCGGACACGACTGAGCAACTAAACAGATACTGGTTTTCGACTGTGGGGAGGGTTTGTTCTCTCACCCTTAACTCCACTTTTTTCAAGGGTCAACTGTGTATTATTCACCACCAGATGATGTACCACTACCAGAGTACATTCAATTATACCTTCAAGTAATAAATATTTATTAAAATACCTACTATGGCATCCCCATACATTATACGCACTAGCAACATGAAACTCTCACAGTTCTTCGGTTTGATGCCTGGCTGGTGGCATAAATTAGATTGTGAACATCAGAAAAACCTAAAGCATGAATACCATGTTCTGCAAAGGTCTCATCTTCTATAAGCCAGTTTCATTCCCTCATTTAAGAAAAAAAAAAGTTAAACCAGATCGAACTTCTGCAAACATGTTTTAACTCTGAATATATTAATCAAAAAATCTGTGTTGTAAGAAAGCAAGATATTAGCACTTCTCTTGACAAAAATGGAAGAGGCCCTCAGGTCTGTTCAACAAATATATGGTTAGGGATTGCCACTTACTTCATGGCAACATTCATAGTTTTACAACTATTTATTATTTTTTCTAATGGGCAATTAGCCATATAAATTGTTATTGTTGTTTCAGTTGTTTCTTAAGGGATAATACATATATTTGTAACTTATCAGCCTAATCAGCATTGAAATTCTATGACTTCATTACTTATATATGATCACTTATACCTCCCACCTTCTATTTCACTTCACACTATTCAATGCACAAATGTACACTATCCAAAGATAATGAACTTACAGCATTATATTTTAAAAACTTATATAAAGACAAAAACAGAAGTGAGTAAAGTACAACCACTATGGGTTAACTGGAGGATTGAAAAGTAACCTCATTCACCTAACTGTTCCTTTCTCCTACTCCCAATACTTAAAGCGAAAGTCTCTCAGTCGGGTCTGACTCTTTGAGACCCCATGGACTCTACAGTCCATGGAATTGTCCAGGCCAGAATACTGGAGTAGGTAGCCTTTCCCTTCTCCAGGGGATCTTCCCGACCCAGGAATCAAACCCAGGTCTCCCTAATTGAAGGCGGATTCTTTACCAGATGAGTCACAAGGAAAACCCAAGAATACTGGAGTGGGAAGCCCTTCCCTTTTCCAGGGGATCTTCCCAACACAGGGATCGAACCCAGGTCTCCCACATTGCAGGCAGATTCCTTTTCCAACTGAGCTATCAGGGAAGCTACTCCCAATAAGGCTACATAAAACTGCCATCACTCAACCACCTGTTTCCTTGGCAACTATATAGAAAGAGTTCTTCTCTCGCAAATAGCATCAAGTTCAAAAATGTCAGAAATGTTACAGGCTTTCATCTCGTGTATACCTCTTATTTACAGATGCAATACAGTCCATGAGCAACATTTTCCAAACAACACAAAAATCAAGCCCAACTGACTTCTATTACAAGGGGAAATGTTTGCTTCCTAGAAATGAGGTATCAATTTGCTAACAGGAAGTCAAATATTAAAGAATGAGTTAGGATTGTATTTAATGTCTCTCAAAGGATAAAACTGCAAAAATAATGCCTATTTCCATCCAGTGAGTTAGTGAAAGTTGCTCAGTTGTATCCGACTCTTTGCGACGCCATGGACTATACAGTTCATGGAATTCTCCAGGCCAGAATACTGGAGTGGGTAGCCTTTCCCTTTTCCAAGGAATCTTCCCAACCCAGGGATCGAACCCAGGCACACTGCAGGCAAATTCTTTACCAACTGAGCTATCAGGGAAGCCCCTAATTTTCATCTAGGAGGGCTTAAACGAATGACAAGAAACATGTATTATTTATCAATGAAGCCCATCGTCTGTCAGTACCAAGCACAACAACAAAATGAGGAAGTACTCAATGAATAAATATCTGTTGACCATACATGGTGTTAATTAAATTAAGAGACATGTATGTCCTCTGTGTTTTCTAGTTGTATGCAAATCAATTCAAATGTTGATAATGTGATCTAACGTATCTCAGATAAGGAATCAAAAAGAAATGTCTAAATTGACTTTAGACATTCTAATAGCATATGGCAGAAATTATTAATACTAATTCATTATATTCTTGAACTATTAACTCTTTAACATAGTATTTAAAAATTCATTGTATGCTTGGACTATAGAAACTGCAAAACCAAGGCCCAATAATTTTCCTAGGTGGGGTTATCTCCTCTCATTTAATCAATGTAAAGGGCAATCTTGATGTATAAAGAAAAACTCTCATTTACACTAGAAAATGACCTGGAGTTCAGTGATATGTCATACCTCAGAGCCACTGAGAATTCCTAAGGGGCCTTCACAGTCCCCTGTGGTCATTAGGAAAATGTCCCTTTTCCAGCAGATTAGTTGTTTTAATCATTTTCTTATTTTCCCCTTTTCAGTCCCAGCTAACCTTGGTGGCTCAGGTGGTAAAGAAGCTGCCTCAATGTGGGAGACCCAGGTTTGATCCCTGGGTCAGGAAGATGCCTGGAGAAGGAAATGGCAACCCACTCCAGTATTCTTCCCTGGAAAATCCCACGGACAGAGGAGCCTGGTGAGCTACAGTTCATGGGGTCACGAAAGAGTCAGACATGATTAGTGACTAACAACCTAATAATAGCTTCTTTCAGGATTTCAATGATTTCCTTAAGTGAGAAATTTCAACCACGGCACTGAAGAGGATCCCATGTGCCTCCTAATAAAGTTGACTTTCTAGTTAACTGAAAACTGTGAGCTTAGTTAGTCCAAAGTTTGGCATCAGAATGAGACTTCAGAGAATACAGGGCAGTGACCCAGCTTCCCCTGGGTGCCTGACCCAACCCCTCTGTGACTGCGTGAGCACAGATGGCCTTCTGATTGGTTCCATAGAAAGCTCTTTAAGGGGTGCCCTTAGAATAGCATTCAGAATCACAAAGGAAATAAGGAAAAGAAGGCACTTTACTGCACTTGATGTCATAAGAGAAGATTTTCAAGAAATGTATGTGAGTTGTACAGAATTTGAGCTTCTTTAGTGAGATTGTTTTTCTTTCATATAGTGGCCAATATTGTAGAATGATACTCCTTTAAGATATACAGAAGAATAATCCAGAATCTGTGATATTTCCAATATTGAGAAGTTGAACTACTCAAATGCCCATTATTCATTGGCAACAAAAAGAAAAGGCCATCTGGTATATCAAGTATCAAACTCCTGTGACAGGGGTTCTCCTATGGAGAGACTTTACCACTGATGTGTCAGCCTGTGAAAGGAAAAACAGAAAAGTCTGGAGCTATTCCCACCCAAAATATCAAAACCCCACTAATATCCTCCTTCATTTTCTGATGGTCCCATATTTTCATTCCTGGAAAGTTCGCTATGTGTTTTAATCTGATGATGATCCTCTCCTCCACTCCTAACCACAGTCACGTGATGACACATTACATTCATTCAAAAGTCTGAGGCTCCTACTATGCCCATCCCTGGTTGCTGAGCTAGAGATGGTAACTTCCCATTCCTTGGAATAGTACCTTCCTTGGAGGGTACCCAGGTATCACTACTCTCCCAAAGATGCAATTGTTCCAATTGTTCTGCTGCCTTGCACAGCTTATCAAAATCTCTCTTCCCTCCATGCATAACACTGAGGGCCAGTATATCTTACAACTTCGGCATAAAACCTCTCATTGCAGAAAGGTGACACCTGGAATGAGGTGTAACAGATAGATACTGGATTTCTAGGGCTACTAATTCCCCCTAATTGGCAAGAATTCCATTAGGGTGATGGCAGGAAATATTTAAACAGATCTGATTCCCATGGAGACAGTGTGAATAGTGCGAAGGAGCATAGGAGCAGACAGCTCTAACAATCTGCAGTGGATGAAGTTGTCTTCAGTCTCTGACGAATTCTAACACTTTTATCTTTCTCTGCTGATCAAATACCTCCCTCGTGCACCTGAAGTCTGAATTTGCCCCTAAGCTTTGAGGTCCCTTGAGCCAACCTGTCCAGACTGACCCTACACAAACACACCATTAATGCATGGATTTAATCCAAAAATGTCTGTAAACAACTACTGTGGGCAAGGCTTGTCTTGAACATCTCTGAAATTCTCTTTTCACAAAGTTTACCCTTCACCATGATCAACTGCCCCACCCTTCACTTTCCACAGTTTTCTCATGTTTTCACTATTGTGAAAAAAAATCAGACTCAGCCTCACACAGTTCAGCATGAAGTGAAGCCAGTATCGTCCACTTGGTAAGTAAATGAAAACTTGTAACTGAATGCTTTGATCCAGAATTGAATGGAAAGACTTTATCAGGGTTTAAAGAAACTGACTACATCTGTGTAAGGTGTTGTCTAGGATGGGAAAGTTAGGTCGCCTCCGGATACCCTCTAAATCACATGAAGCAATAGTTGATGTCTTCACGCACAGTAAATATGGATGCAGGAGAAGAGAGAAAACAGTCCTCCAGAAATACCACACTGACTAAACACAAGAGATTCCAGACATATTCTTACCTACAGTGAGGCCCTGAGTCTGCCATGCACACTGTGGTCAGGTCTCCCTGTGAATCAAGGTGGAATGATGAACACAATTTTCAGGATAGGTTGAAAATATCCAAATAAGTGAGGTACTTTAAAATAGTTAAGCTTTGCAAAAAGAAAAAAAAAACTAAGTCCAATTCATTATTTTAATTGGCTTTAATAGGTTTCATGAGAAAGTTTTACTCTCAACAATATTTACATATTTATCCATGCAGAATCCTCAAAAGTAAATTCTTCAGTTGCCAATGCTTCATTAATACTGGATCCAGGTTTTACAGATACACAAGGGTAAGCACTGCCCTGTTTGTCCAGACCCCCAAGTAACATTCACTACTTTAAGATGGGCTTAAGCTGAGAGCTTTGTTAATGTGATCAGAATTTAACCTTCTCATGATTATTCAGTTTATGGTCATAGATTGCTGGCAAGGACAGAGTGACCAAAAACAGGTGCTCTGTGAAAAAAAGCAATTTTAACATTTTTGTGAATTCAGAAAGTTACCTTGAATTAGATGGTAGAGTGCTAAACAAAAGAAGAAAACTGGTCAGTCAGCCTAAAATGACCAAGACAGGCAGGAATCTTCATATTATGAGACATGTCCGAGTACATAGAACTATGAGTTAGGATTCAAAATTATCTAGAGTATAGCATTGCTTCCCAAATGTACTGCTCACCATCCTGGTCCTCGTGAACAACTAAGTGAAACTAAGGGCAAGAGGATGAAAGTTATGGTTAAGAAAAAACTGTAGTAACATTTCACCCAACCCTAAAAGAGCAATAAAGGAATAATGAACCCATATCAAAACTGGAAGGAGATTCTTCCATTATTGCAAAAGGTCTGTGCCCTCTAAAGAGTGATATATCATCAGGAATTTTTCAGTGACATGAAATAACATGATCCATGTTGATAACAGCATCCTTGAAATTCAGTAGCAGAACTTCTGCCTGGCATCAGTGCTATTTGAACATTTGGGGAAAAGGGAAGGAAATTATGTGTGGATGTGTGGGAGTCTTGTCTGAGGCACCCATAAAATACCATGTAGAAGTTTCTAGACTCATACAAAAGGCATAACTGAAGCTAACACAGAATGGAAATGAAGTATAAGAACTGGTGGCTTATGATTGCTGTTATTATGACGGGATCCATGTTCACAAGGGGTTCACAGTCTGGAGGGAAAAACTGAGATGTGTGTTAAACATCAAATGAGAAAAGAAGCAAAGTTCAGACTCTGACATAACACAGGAAACCTAGTATTCGAACAGAGAGCAGTAGGGAGCAATCAAGAGAGGTTACAGGAGAAAAGCTCAGGCTGGAAGGGCCATGAGAATGTAGACCAACTAAATTAAGAAGGAGGACATTTGAAGTGGAGAAAAGTATAAGCATAGACAGAGGAAAATACAAACCAATCTAATATCAAAAGTAACTTAAAACTTTGGAAAGTTAAGGAAAAACAAAGATGAACTCCAACTATAAGAGTAGGAAAACAGTCTATAATGCTATGCACTAAAATTAGATCTGACTTAGCCAAAATAATTGAATTTATTTCCTGGTTCTTATACTGATTCTCAACGTGGCATTATAAAATCTTCATGAATATCAGTTTCATCATGAATAAAATGAACATGAGTGACTGCCAAAATAAATGATAAAATCGCAGTGAGAATAAATTGAAAGTGATTAAGTAGAGACCCTATACATAAAAATCTCATTAAAAATTAATATCCTATTAAATTTAAAAGCTACTAGACGACCATGAGCAAAGAAATAATGATTGGGGAACAAGGAGCTGAGAGAAGATTTAGAACCACTGCTGCAGATAATGGTTTTCAAAACCAAATGATTATAAGGATTTCTAAACTATAAGAAGAATTCAGCCAAAATTAAATACTACACATGAGTAGATGAGCCAGATACAATCATTTTTTCAGTTAAAACCTTATGGAAAAAGAATAGGATTCTCTGAAGTATGTGAAGACTCAAAAACAAAAATAAAAAATCAAGATGACACAGTGACACACAGTGAGGACAAGTTTGAGATGTTATAACACAGTTTTTGGGGAGACCAGGGAAGGATGGTGAGGAAAAGTGATGATGACATAAAGGAAAGGGACAATTACAAGTGATCTCATTTCTCTGTCTATTGTCCTTCAAGGAAACAGCCTCCACAAATGGCCATGAGGAACCACAGCACCATCACCGAGTTCGTCCTCACTGGGCTGTCAGACGACCCCCGCATCGAGGCTCTGCTCTTTGCGCTCTTCCTGGTGATTTACCTCCTGACCATGATGGGGAACCTGACGATGCTGCTGGTGATCAGGGCTGACTCCCACCTCCACACGCCCATGTACTTCTTCTTGAGTAATCTATCATTCCTAGACCTCTGCTTCTCCTCTGTCACTGTGCCCAAGCTCCTCAAGGACCTCCTGTCTGAGAAGAAGACCGTCTCCATAGAGGGCTGTCTGGCTCAGGTCTTCTTTGTGTTTTTCTCTTCAGGAACCGAAGCCTGTCTGCTCTCGGTGATGGCCTATGACCGCTATGCTGCCATCTGCCACCCCCTGCACTATGGCCAGGTGATGAGCAGCCGGCTCTGTGTGAGGCTGGTGTTGATCTCATGGGGTCTGGCCTCTCTCAATGCAGTCATCATTGAGCTCTTGGCTATTAATCTGGATTTCTGTGATGCCCAAACCATCCACCATTACACCTGTGAGCTACCCTCCCTCTTCCCTTTGTCTTGCTCTGATTTCTCCATCAATAACAGTATCTTGATCTGCTCAATCTTACTCCATGGATCTGGAACCTTCCTCCCAATAATCTTCTCTTATGCTCGCATTGTCTCCACCATTCTGAACATCATCTCCACCACAGGCAGAAGCAAGGCCTTCTCCACCTGCTCCTCCCACCTCATTGCGGTGATCCTGTTCTTTGGCCTAGGTATGCTTCGCTATCTCATGCCTTCCACTGGTTCCTTCCTGGATTTGCTCTATTCCTTACAATACAGTGTGATCACACCCATGCTGAATCCCCTCATCTACAGCTTCAAAAACAAGGAGGTAAAGGGAGCTGTGAAAAGGACTTTGGGGAAATATCTGCACTATTGCACAGGTTGAACTAAGTCACATTTACCCAGCATAACTGGAAAGACTAAATTTCTTCTTATGTTCCCTCCTGTTTTGTTTCCAACCTCTCCCCCTACACAAAGTCAAGTAGGATTGAGGAAAGAACCCACAGCTTCCCTGAAGATCCCAGGTAATGATCACAAAGGAACCCTCAGTTTTGAGATTCTATTTGGAAATTCTATGCTGTACTGAAGTGGGACACATTGTGAAGAAACACTTACACAAAGCCCATCAATAATACAACATGATTATTAGGGAGAAAAAAACAGAGATTATTTGACTTCTCAAAAGGCATAAAAGTCACAAGAATTTCTACTTAAAATGATTCATAAAAAAAGATTCAAATGATTCTTCCTGTATTTGATAAATGCTTCATAATGATATGTCAGATTTGGAGAATGACAGTTGAAATAACCAGAAAAAAGTTATTATAGCTCATATTACTTATCAGAATTATGCAATTTCTCTACAATACATTTATATGATGATAAGAGCCAATATTTAAATTTCCATAGGAAGAAGTAAAACATATGCATATTTGAAGATGACATAATTCTATGGAAAGCCTAAAAACTCCTCATAGGAAAATAAACTTATTGGCACTCCAAAGAATTTAATAGACAAAAAACTAATATTAATACAATCAGTACTATTTCTATATACTAGCCACTGTTAAGTAAACAAAAAATATGATGCTTTAAGCAGAAAAATATCCATTTACTATTAGAAGATCAATAGAAAATCCTCAGGATTAAACTTGATAAGTACTTATAGCAAATAAGAATAAAGTAAAAACATTAACTAAATGATATAAAAGATGCTTAAATTAACATAGAATATATTTTTAGACATACTCTTCCCTGCCAGTTTTATGCAATCAACAAAAGAAAAACATGAATTTACAAGCAATCTGGAAATCCATAGTTCTAGACTTGATTCCATAGAACCATTAGTGATTCAGTCTTTTGCCTTCTATTGAATACGTCATCTTCATATATTGGGTTTTACTCTAGGCATTATGTTTTTTACAACACATAACATAGCTTTTTGTTTTTTGTAGAGATATTTGTATATTCTGTTCTTGAACTTTATATAAATGAAATTATTCTAATCCTAAAATTAAAATACTGGATGTATTCAAGACTTGATGAGGCAGTGGAGCAATCAGACTCACATATATTGGTAGTGGAATAGTAAATGGGTTCAATCACTTCAGAAAAATATTGGGCGGCACCTACTAACTGCACACTATATGTCTACTCTAAGATTCATTAATTATATTCTTAGGTAAATATGAAGAGAAATGAGTAAACATATCCAGAAAATACATTAATAGAATAGTCATAAGTTTATTATTGCATTCAAAATCTATAATAAACCTAAATGTCCATCACCTGGAGAATAGATAAATAAATTCATACATGTAGTATATTTATACAGTGAAACATAATACAACAAAATTTTAAAACTGCAAACAATAAGTGAATAAATCTCACAGACACTATGTAACAGAAGCCAGATATAATGGGTACTTATTTATTATTTTATTTATCTGAGGTTAAAAAGCAGAGACATTACTTTGCCAACAAAGGTCCATCTAGTCAAGGCTATGGTTTTTCCAGTGGCCATGTATGGATGTGAGAGTTGGACTGTGAAGAAAGCTGAGTGCCGAAAAATTGACGCCTTTGAACTGCAGTGTTGAAGAAGACTCTTGAGAGTCCCTTGGACTGCAAGGAGATCCAACCAGTCCATCCTAAAGCACATAAGTCCTGGGTGTTCTTTGGAAGGATTGATGCTGAAGCTGAAACTCCAGTACTTTGGCCACCTCATGCAAAGAGCTGACTCATTGGAAAAGACCCTGATGCTGGGAGGGATTGGGGGCAGGAGGACAAGGGGACAACAGAAGATGAGATGGCTGGATGGCATCACCGACTCGATGGACATGAGTTTGAGTAAACTCCGGGAGTTTGTGATGGACAGGGAGGCCTGGCGTGCTGCGATTCATGGGGTCGCAAAGAGTCAGACACGACTGAGCAACTGAACTGAAAGACAGTGAATTAATCATGTTTATATTTTCTAAATTTCTTTTCCTCAGCTTTACTGAGATATAATGGACATATAATTTCGTATAAGTTAAAGGTGTACAATATGCTGATTTGATACACTTACATGTTGCAAAGTGTTTACCATCTCCATCACTTCACATCCTTACCTTTCATTTTTTGAGGTCAGAGTACTTGAGATACATTTTCTTAGCAACCAAGTATAAAATAAATTATTATTAACTATAATCACCATGCTGTCTTTTAGATTCCCAAATCTTACTCATCTTAAACTGGGCGTTACATTTTATTTTTCCTGATACTTTGACATCTTCAAATCTTGCTGACCTTGGAGAGATGTCCACCCAGGGCTAGCCAGGTCCTGGAGACAACAAACAACTCATCTGATCAACACATTTTTCAGATATAATCTGATTAATCAAGAACCCATACCCTCAATTGCCTCTTTTATTTAGCAATCACACTGCAAGCCACTATCCACATGCTCTAATCACCTCAGGGCCAGGTACCAGACAATGAGAGACAGACCCTTAAACCCAGAGTCCACTGAAATCAATCAAATTATTCCATCCTGAACTTGCTTACACTGCCTCATTCATCTCTTCCTACAAAAAACACACTAAAGCCTATTGCCAATATTTTCCTCTCCCTCTATCTGCTTCCTGGCCAGTCCAAGGCTTCCCTGTATGGTCCTATAAGTAATAAATTCTCTTTTCAATAAAAAATTGTCTCCTGTCTGTTGGCTTTACCATACCTGACTAATAATAAAACTTACATTTTAAAATAGTCAGGAAAAGTAATAATTTCATAAATTCATTCATGATGAAATCAGAACAGTAGTCTCCTGCAGAGAATGGATTGACCAGGAAGTATCAAGATGAATCTTTTCAGGCAGATGAAAGGTTTTGGACTTGATCTCTGTAGTGGTTACAAAGTGTATACACTTATCAAAATTCACCAAGCTGTCCCTTTAGAATGGCTGCACTTAATCACTTTACATATGTATTTTAAACTGCAATTAATAGGAAAACTAAACAACCAAAAACATTTGTTTCATGAATGTTCTCATACTTCTTACAGGTACATATTGCCCATGCCCTGCAAATACTTTAGGGAATAATTCCCTTCCTTTCATATCAAGGCAGTATTTCCCCCACTCCAGTCATGATGGGAATTAACCCCAGCTATACCAAGGGAACATTTCATACAAAGATGAGTTCAATAAAGGACAGAAATGGTATGGACCTAACAGAAGCAGAAGATATTAAGAAGAGGTGGCAAGAATACACAGAAGAACTGTACAAAAAAGATCTTCACAACCCAGATAATCACAATGGTGTAATCACTCACCTAGAGCCAGATATCCTGGAATGTAAAGTAAAGCGGGCCTTAGAAAGCATCACTATGAACAAAGCTAGTAAGGAGATGGAATTCCAGTTGAGCTATTTCAAATCCTGAACGATGATGCTGTGAAAGTGCTGCACTCAATATGCCAGCAAATTTGGAAAACTCAGCAGTGGCCACAGGACTGGAAAAGGTCAGTTTTCATTCCAATCCC